CATTGGTCACTACTCAGTAATTATTTTATTTTAAATACATGTCAGTCCTACACGAGGTAAGTTGGAGCCCAAATGGTTCAGTAACAACATCTCTAACCATGAAGCTGAGTAACACGAAATTAAAATCGCCAGAGAGTACTGACTTTGTAGTACTCCCTAGTTTCAGTTATTGTCTGATTTTTTGAATAAAATTACTAACTGATAATAGAGTATTTCCCTAGTTCACCGACTGATACGGAAAATAGAAGTAATTATCCTGTTCTCCAGCTAACTAATTTCCTCTCAAAGTACTGCCCACAAATTGAAATATACTTTTGTATCCGTCTATGAATAGAATATTTCAGAGTTATTTTTGGGTTAACCATTTCTTATTGTGATATTGAATGATACAAGATTGAATCTTCAATGGGAAATGGCTTTCAAGATCATTGGTACTCTTTCTCAATGTGAGTCAACAGATGATAGTTCAAAGTTTTCCCAATTCATTCTTTGCAATCAGCAGTCACCATGTGATCGATCAATAACCTGTGATTTACTAGAATTAACTGGAAAAATTAAATTCTGTATACAGTTTCTATGCAGGATTATTTTGACAATCAAATTTGAATATCGCGTAAACTGTTAAAGCAGAGCTACTCGGGAAATTTCTCTCCCTTTTAAATAAATTTTATGAATGTTGTAAAACACAGAACTTCGTTTCTTCTAACCTGTTTCAGATTCGAATTTCTATTGGTTATTTTACTATTCACAGACGTCCTTTTTCTCTGCCCAATAGCGACAAGTTAATGTATACAATGATGAATGCATGAAATAGATATGAAAATACAAATGAAATCTGAAGTAATAGAAATAGGAAAGGAGATTGAGAGTTAAACACACACATACACACAAATTCAACTTCACATGAATTGTAAAGTGAAGTGAAAAGGGACCATAGAGCTTGATATATTTGCTTTTTTTTTCTACAAAAGTCAGATTGTACAGAATAAAAAATAAAAAAAGACAATAAAATGAAATTGTATGTTTTGAGTTGATAAGTTCAAATGATGTTTTAACAATCTATGCATTACATACCGACAAGTTAAAACAGGTTGAACCAATCAAAAAAGGGGAATTATTTGATCATTTCAACCCCCTTCAAAATCCTTTCCCCCTCCCTTTTTTAAAATAAAATAAAATAAAATAAAAGCCATTTTCAGAGATAATAATCACTTGTTATTGTTTTACTTGAAACTAGTTGGTAATATTAATTCCTTTGATGAGAATCTGTACATGTATAACTATTCCATTTGGATCTTTAAAATAAGAATAGAATTTCAATTTTATCATAAAAAGAAATTGTACTAAAATACTTCTATACATATTCAAGTAAGTTATTATATGCTTATTGACTTTTTTGAGTTATTCTGATAGTTTCTTTAGCCTTATACATATCTTAATTAATTATATACTAGTTATTTATATGTGAGCAAGAGAACGGAACATGAATGGTGATTTTCATAACTTTTACTTGCAAGAGATTATGAAATGATAGAAGTTAAACAGTTATTAAGTACCTGGAAACACTGAATGTTCATTTCGTTCAAGACTCCTTACTCATGACTACGCAAACTGAAAGGGTCCTATATTAAGATTAAAAACGACTATCCAGTGATTTCAGGTTTTTATATTTGTGAAGGTCTCAGCAATGTTTTTAAAGTTTTATTTTACAATGCATAGTAAATATTAAGATGGATATTAAACTGTCTTTGAAAATGAACGTCTTCATTCAGAACGTAAAGTTGCGATAGAAATGTTACTACAAATAAACCATAAATTTTTTTAGTTGTTATCATATTTTGACTGTTTAGTAAAATTACTTAACGTACAAAAATGGATTTTATCCACTAAGAATTATGCTAATTTGATTGAAAAGGCTACTTCAATAAATTCAGAGATTTTTAATTGATAAGGTTAAGCGTTTGCACGTGAGGCCGAAGGTTTCGAGTTCACGTCCCGCGGGATCATAGATGCGCACTGCTGAAGAGACCGATACTAGGATGAAACGGCTGTCCAATGCTTCCAGATTTTTCACGATGGTCTAGCTTTAATTGACTCATGATCTCAACTATTAAAATTACTAAAATCTCCACAAAACCCCCTTCTGATGATAATCTTTTAATACTCACTCTTTTTTGTAAACTGTTAACGATCTCATGCATCAAGAAAAGTATATTTTCATTATAATTACTTGTTATATCATCTAAGTTACTAACATTCAATTAATCTATTTCCATTTCTGTATTATTTATTACAAATGATAGATTTAACGTCTCACTTCCATAAACTAACAGTTAGAATGAAGTTAAACTATTTGATTTACTATAATCACTGTTCAACAGTGTAATATGTTATTCATGTGATTAGACATTGATCCATTCATGGTCTCAATAAGAAATCAACAATCTCCAAAACATCATACTGAAACTAATCAATGAATTTTAAAAAAAAGTGTACAAATAATAATTGACATTAAATACCATTCAGATAAAGTGAACATTAGGTAGAGAGCTAATAATAAATATATTTTCTGTTATATCCTAATGAGTAGAAAAGTTATATTTTTGATGTTTCGTGACTTAATATAAGCCACTTCTTTAGAGTGAATGACTGTTCAATGGTTCCGAAACAAACGAAAAAATCTACAAGATAATTTATCAAAGAGTAGTTAATTTTCATATATGTTTTCCTACCTACTCTTATCATAAGTATTCTTATTCGAAAGTTATTTGGTAACAGTTTAACCTGTACACTGATGATAGATGTAATTTATACACTGATATATTGTAGTCTCTTTTTTAGAACTTATTAACTAAAGTTTACATAAGAATAGTATACAATGAATATAATTGTTGAATACTAAAGTGCGTGGATACTCACTGCTGAGCAGTCCCACGATAGGACAAAACAGTCATCTAGTGCTTCCAGGTTTTCCATGGTGGTCTAACTTGAATTGACTCATGATCTCAACTACTGAAACTAAAGTATTTGCTCAATTTAAAATTTTAATTATTAATATAAGTCTGTAATAGAATTCTTTTTATAATTCTAAATTAACATTCCTGGTCATTTCTATCAAGGTTGAAATTCATTTTTGATAGTTTCTACGAGAAAAAACCCCATAAAAACATGTACTTGGTTATTAGGATTTATGTTTCTAATTGTAAGTAGACTTCTAATATTTTTGTTAAATGTTGGTAAAAACAATTAAGTATTTATGATTCCCTTCTGGATTATTATCAATTCTATTTACGAATAATCGAGGATTTGTTGTTTTTGTTGTATGAAAGAGAAGCAATATATATTCAAATAGACCGGAAATATGACATACAACAATACTTCATCGTTAATAATTCACATTCTAATGTGAGATAGAGAGGATGGGATAATCAGGATAGATTTATTTTTCGAATAAAAGTTAAAAATTGAAATGAACAACAGTGTATACATAGTAAAATGTGGTGAAGTTGGAGCATAACAAAATTAATGATCAACAATCAATTAGATGATAGCTAAAGTTATGACAGATATATAGATTTGAAAAAAAGGAGAGATACTCTGATCTCTCCATAGCAATTTCAACTATTTAAATTACTATAATATCCACAAAATACTAGCGACTGGCTTCAAAAGGTATTTCCTGGAGTTCTAATGAGAAGCAGTGACCAGTGGAGTTCAATCGTTGTGAGGTGGTAACTCACTGAAGACAATGGTGAGTGTATCTCTCAATTTTGTGGATTGGTTGAAGTTAGAAATTAACACCGTTGGATGCCGGCCAGCTCAGCGGTCTAGTGGCTAAGCGGTCGCGCGAGAAACTGATAGGTCCTGGGTTCGGATCTCGCGAGGCGAGATCATGGATACGCACTGCTGGGGAGTCCCACAATAAGACGAAACGGCCGTCCAGTGCTTCCAGGTTTTCCATGGTTGTCTAGCTTCAATTGACTCATGACCTCAACTATTAAAATTACTAAAATCTCCACAAAACTTCTGATAGTAACTTCATAACGGTCAAATCAAAATTTCTGCTGAAAATTTATTTCAGTTAGGTTAGAATCTCAAATTGATAGATCATTAAAAGAAAAACTAATATGCAACTTGTTTTTTTAAACGTGATTATTCATTGTATATGTATTACACTTAAATTTGATTTGTCTTGTCATATTGAAGTGTAAACAGTTAAGAAATGAAAAAAAACACAGTAAAACCACGTGAAACCAACTCATTTTTCATTAAATTTCACATTTAATGTAAATTACTAGTGATAATAATTAAATATAGTAAATACATATGAGAATCTCAAACAATATGCTCCCATCTTACTCTGTTCATATTATTATTGTTATTATTTTTGTGTGGCATAATTATACAATCATGACCACGTCTCATTTTATTGATTGGTTCATTCCTTGTTTTTACTATTCATCATTGATTTTACTCACTGATTTTCTTAAAATACCATTTTTAGTTACCACTTGACACTTATTATTGATGACATCAATAGCACATTTACCAAATGTGGTATTTATATTTATAACATAAAGAGAAAAACAAAATACAGAAATATCCAGTCATCATATACACTGTAAATGGTAGTTGTTATCATTGTCATTCCATTTACATTTTGTGATTTCTACATGTACTCACTTGAAAATTCATCATTTTCAATGAAGGAGGAGAAAAAAAAATAGACAAACACGTGTGCACACATCAACATCAACCGTTCAACCATATTACGTGAACTGGTAAATACACACACGTACATTATATAAACATATCACATGTTTATGTATTACACTTTGAAGAGAAATAAATCAACATATATATATATATGTCCATACATGTGTATTAACAAATTTTGGGGGGGAGGGGGAGGGGCAAGTAGCTATATATAATAGACAGTTACAACGTCAGTTACGGTTTCCTTTTTTTAAAATACATTTTTATATATGGATTTAAAATGTATATAACTAGCTAGGAAATTACTATACAACTGTTTAATTGCGTGATATAAACGTTCAAAATAACTACGATTACAATTGAAATGACTTGATATGACAATTTAATTTTTCCTTAGGTAAGTTGAATAGTGTATTTGCATTGGATCAGTTAACAGATTTCTCTTTAATTTCATTAAATAATACCAGCTTTATATTAAAGATCATTTTTATTAATATTGACCACTTACAAAAGAGTTCAATAAAAGGTAGAAAATAGGGAAGAACATTCTAGACAACTTACAATTTGTTGTATGATGAATAAATTTATGAGATGTATTAGTTCGATGTTAACTCAGTGGTCTAGAGGTTATGCGTTCACTCGCAAGATCGAAGGTCTCGAGTTCGAGTCCCACGGGATCGTGGATGCGTATTTTTGAAGAGTCCCATACTAAGATGAAACGAATGTGCAATACTTTCAGGTTTTTAATAGTAGTCCAACTTAGATCGACTCACAAACTCGACTGTGTATAAGAAAATATCGGCTAGATAATATTTATAAAAACATGTTGATAATCTGAAAGTTCTCTATTCAATTAGTTCCTTATCATGGTCCTACACTAATAAATAGATTTTTAAGTTAAACATAGATTAAATAACAAATAAATAAGATGGTAGTCAATCTCGCTATTTACCTTTTATCTTCCCTAAAAGCGATATTTAGTAGTTGATGATATGGTTTTTTTCAGATAGATTACGTAAGAATACAAATAGAAGATAACATAAAATTGAAAGGATTGAAAAGTATTTTGAGCGACATAATAGTAATTAAGTAGCAGATCAGGATAGCCGGAAATATTGTATAAACTTTTACTATACACAGGTTTCAAGTATATTCATACTTATTCCCATGGGTTTCTCTGTACTTCGGAGACTGATTCTGAAAGTATAAGGCAAGTTGAACAGAATTCTACAGATAACCTTGAAGGCTAATTTTTTAAATGTGGTGACCATTACGGACTTAATATCACAGAACAGAGATTCTTATTATTTTATTTTGTCATTCGGTCAGTTATAAGAATGGTTTTCAAAAATCCGATGGTGTAACTGCCTCATTACATGTCCAATATAACTGATTCTATAGGAGCAGCTGAACTACTGAAATGAAAATAAATAGTATGATTATTATCCATCAAGCATCTTAGAATGAATTTCGGAGTATCCTATGACTTTTTTAGTTAACATCACATTCAAAATTTATTACGTACATATCTTTTGTACTTTTTTTTCTGAAGAAATCATCCACTCGCGTCCATATATAAAAATGAGATAAGACCTTGTAACTTTAAATCAATTGTAACTTGTGGGTCAGGATTAAATCTTTCAAGTAGAACTTCATTATTCAGTCTTCTTAAAATTCGTAAAATTTCTATTTCTGTTTCATAAATCTAATTCAAAGTTGTTGAAACTGCTAACTGACTATCACACATAAAATAGGCAAGTCAAAAGATCTGTTCTGTATGGTATATAAACTTTATATTCCCATTTTTCAGTGTAAATACTAAAGATTATTGCAGTTCGATGTACAAATCTGTCAGAATACGTAATAGTAATTAAGAAATCCTATGGAAGTACACGTGCTCATGAGATTCAGAAACTTGTTTGACAATATATCTTCCATACATCACTTAATTGCCTTAATTGACTGAAAGTCAGTGAGTAGCGCGAGTGAACTTAAAGTAACACGACAGTTGTCTGATGTTACCAAGATCTGCATACCCTTTTTTAAAAACTTTCCATCCCAATGAATCCAATATATTTTTACTAGAATACCTATGAATTTTCTGTTCCAGATGATTTCCCGTTACATTAGAGTAGGTTTTCTTAAAATCAATTATTCATTCGGTAGTTCTGATGACAAGATTTCAAGTATTGTTTCTTTCGATAATAGAATACATTTTCCAAATTTCACACTTATCCATTAATAGAATGCAAATGTTTGAGAAAAAATTCTCTTGATGTTCAAAATTTATGTTAACATGTTTAAACTTGAAGGAATGAGTGACACTCTCTGAGAAAAAGTGAAACTAAAACCTGAATATTATGCATCATTTTCAAGTTGACTGTTGGAATTCATTAACTACATACTGGACACTGCAAAGGGTTTTATTTTATCTATCCTATACAATTGCCGTAAACCCGATGTCATTGTAAACTTTTCAATGTAGAAGTGTAATAAGATTAGTAGACTTTCAAACCAATATGTTCACATTTTTTAAAACTGGGTGATTTAAATGATAAGGTAAAATAATGTTGAAATAGGGAAATGAATGTACTCATTATGTTATTTATCCAAAAGATTGAATCAAATTAGTCATTCAGGTGATAAACAAATAACTATGATCTTTTATGAGCAATCGTTTAGTTGTAGATATTGAGTTTACATACTATTTACAACAGTCTACAAGAGTTGTTTTGAGGTACTCATGATCCTTACCAGATAAGGTCATTTGTCTGACTCACTCTTAAATCTTGCAATACGTCAACTAATATTAATGAATATAACAGTAAAATCCAGTTTAAAACGACTATGAATTGAAATCCGAAGACTTTCAATAAAAGAAGTTTGAGGACTATAAGTTAACCGGTCAAATACGCTGACTGACTAACAGCATGCAAATAATACCATGATGCGGAGTGATAACTTCTAACTAAATCAGATTAATTATATAAGCTACCAATTGAACTGATATCAGGTGATAAGACAAGTACCCAGTATAATGGATATTTTTTGTAATAAAATAACATCCTTATGAACAAAATAATCACAATCATAAACGTGATTAGTTTGTAGGTCATTCACTTTCCTATCATATCATTCTTCCATAAAATGATGCGGTGTCCTCCCGTGGCAACATTGATAGGACTGTGATGTTTTTTTGGGTTCATTTCACGTATTCTTCAATTCTGACGGAGAACACTTTTCATTTTTGTCTGCTGTGTGCAACTGTACAAGTGGCATAAATCTGCGAATAAGGCATAATTTTTTTTATTTCATTTTTCTTCTCTTCAAGCTAAATATTCATCACATACTTTGAATTGTAACGATGTGAACACTGAAACTGATTTCATTCTGTAATTAGGACTGTCGATAATTTCTGTGAGGCCATTTAAGCACCTACTTGTGGGATAAGTTAGGAATGATATTGGTAATTTACGCACTGTTTTAGGTCAAGTAAAATGAATTACTGTTATGTATTAATTGATTTATCATTTCTGTTCTAGTGTTAAGCCAAGCTTTAACGTTTCGTTTTGAGCTTCATTTAAAGATTTATTCTTGAATTTATGGTAAATGAAAAATAGATCACTCAGTACGTATGTAATAAAGATCAGTTTTGAATGATTAATGAGTTCTTAGATTATTTCATTCGAGATCTTATTTTTATTAAAAATTGAAATCTTTCTGTTTTCAATTAATGTTAACTTGAATGATATTTGTTTACTAGATCTTTGTTGTATGTTTAATAAGTATTGCATTTATATCTTTTAGTCTACTGATTTACTGATCTTAAAAAAAAATTATTTTGATAAGTCAACTCAAGAGAAAAGTGGATCATCTGGCCTCCTGCTATATTAAGTGATTTCTGATTGGTTAGAATGGGCTCCCATATGAGAATTTCCTTTGTTTTTACAAATGACACCCAAATGCCCTAATACGGCTGAGAGTGGGGAAAGTCAGTTCTGTCTCTCCAAATGCTCTCATATGGCCACGCGTATGTAGCCACTATCAGAGAGGTCCTACTCAATCCATTCTCTAAGCATTACTGTTGTTTACGAAACTGAGAGGACGAAAAGAGAATGTCCGGAGCTCTAACCGGGTTGGTTGGTGGATATGGAGGATCCTTATTGGGGAGTTGTGAAACCCTGATTCTAAACCAATGGTGCACATCCTGAGGAAACAAATGGCGTATGAACCAATTATTGGTCATCGACTACCATGGGACTGCATCTCCCAAGGTTACTCCAATGCCTTGGGGATTAGATCTCTAGATCAAAGGCTCGGGCAGTATCACAATCCACACACAAATCAAGTGACTTGCGTGGTACACATCCATTCGATACCCCTTTGTACTAATATTTATGTGTTCAAATAAATAAAAAATAAATAGTTTCTACAAATGATTAAGTTAGAACATTAAGAAGTGTTAACTCCATCTTCACTAAACTGTTTATTGATAAAATTGAAATGACGAATTGCCAACGATTATCATGTAACAAGTTTAGATGGAGATGGAAATTCAAACCCTGATCTATTTATCTCGGTTTTTTAATGTGTTATCTCAGTCTCAAAATAAGAAGTAATGTTTTAAAGCCGACTACACAATAGTGTACTTTATTTTAGAGTTGGATTAGTTCGAATAAGGATTTATTAAGCGAATAATTAGTAATATTTTCATCACGCAGTATACAAACAGCTTTGAGACTTAAACAGAAGTAGATTGTATGAAGCTTTAACAATTAAATGTTTTTGTGGATATTATAGTAATTTCAATGGTTGAAATTATGAGTCAATTGAAGCTAGACCATCATGGGGAACCTGAAAGCACTGGATGACCGTTTCGTTCTATTGTGGGGCCCCTAAGCAGTGCGCATCCACTACCCCGCCCCCCGCGAACTTCGAACCCAGGACCTATCAGTCTCTCGCGCGAACGCTTAACTTCTAGACCACTAAGCTGGCCGGCATCCAACGGTGTTAATTTCTAACTTTAACCAATCCACGAAATTGAGCGATACATGACAGTTTAGCTTCAACTGACTCATGATCTCAACCATTGAAATTAAAATTTGTCATGATTAGAGAAGCAATGTATCATTTAAGAATGTAGTGTAAATCTTCAAAAAATCCCATATTTAATAATTAAGTAGCACAAACTACTTCATCAAGACTTCACTATTATATATATATATAAGCATTAACACTGATATTCACGTATCATCTCAATATCAGATGCCTTAAAACCGTAATAAGATCCTTAAAGTAATAGTATCAGTGTTCTTTTTTGATCATCTAGAGACAAGTACTACAAGACCAACGAAACACTTAATTTAATTATCCATTAAAATCTTTTTAGTTTATCGGTCCTTTTGTAAATAAATTCGTATAATAATAACAACAATAATAATAAAGAATTACAATGAAAAGTTAAATAGCAGTTACTTTTGACTTTCATAATGAATTCGAATGGACACGTGTCACTAACACAAACATCTGGGTGAATTAATTATTTCACTTTAAAAATATTTTGATTCATGTTTTATGACTGTAGTCAATTGAAATCTGTATTACATAATTTCAGGGTGTGTGTGTGTGTTTTAATGAGTTAACTAAAAAAAAAAGGAAATAAGGAAAAAGGGAAATATAAAACTTAATCCAATTTCTCTTTATATGAACAGTTTTAATGGCCAGTTGAATAGTCATAAATCAATCGAAATAATAATAATAATAATAATATAAAGAGTAAAAGTAAGGAACGTTAACTATTCACAATGCTAATGCACTATTTTCCAATCATTAATTGTTAGGTTGACAATGACTTTATGATAAGTATCTAGGGTAATATGGTGAGGATATTAGGTAAATAACAATCGGTACTGTTATAACTTTTGATTTAATGACCAAAACCAATTACTTGAAAATGTTGTAATATATATTGAGTGAACCTATGTGATACTATAATTCATTTCATCATACAAAACTGTATCTAAAACAATTGTTTTTAAAGACGGTCTCCTTTAAAAAAAATAATAAACATACATTAAAACTATTTGTTTGTATTTAAACATAACTTAGGAGATAAATCAACATTATTCCTTATTTCGTTTCTTACCTAATCTTCTCAACGAATGACCCCATAGTCTTCCTAAATATCTACGACTAAATCATAATTATTTGTTGACTTTCAACAAACTTGTGCGTTGATCTTCTAAAGTTTCACGGTAAACGTTGACGGGTTGATTCAATCAAGTCAAAAATGAGATAACAAAAGACTAGCGATAATAGATGAGGATCTTATTACACTACACATTGGCCAAAATTGAAAATATGAACCACAATATATCAATTAAGTGATTAACTGGTTTGCCAAGATATCCAAAGGTTATAATATAATGATGACGATCTGCATTTAGCAGTACAATTCAAGTTGAAATCTTTCTATAGCATTTTATGTCAGCTCTTTGTTTTGACAGTAGTAGAATAAATGAAAATTACATAAAGTTATTACTTTTGGAAGTGTTTGGATACTCAGTTTAAAGCTGCTTGCATCTCCTGAAAAAAAAAATGGACTAGATGACTGTTTTACTGAATAGTGTACTTTCCAACGTTGTGATGTCTGATATATCACCGAATTATAGTATAAATACCTCTCACTTTATTTCTTAGGTATGATTATGTGTTAATTATTGAACATTATAATTAACGGTTGCAGGAAAATCGCATTATATACTAATGGTACTTTATTGAATCCTTACCAATATTAAGGAAACTGAAATTATGAGGCTTCATATATTAGTCATCCATTCAAGGTGAATATATTGCCTTCTATTTAATGTTTTAAATTGAATTAAATTAAAGATTATAATCCAAAATGTTTATTAGTAACTGATACATAAGCAAAAATTCCAATTCCAAAATTCAGTGTAATCGATTACACTTCAAACTTCTAAAAAGTAAATGAATTAGTTATTTTATTCCTTAAAATTAGTTACTAACTCTTCAACTACTTATATAAATAGATTTTTTTAAAATGTACTCTCATACAGATAAACTAATTATTTTGCTAGTTATAGATTGTAGATGTGCACTGATGAGAATTCCCATACTAGGACGAAGCGGTCATCTAATGCTAACAGGTTTTTCATGATGGTCCAACTTCAATTGACTGACTCAACTATTGAGATGGTGGAGAAGATTTGTAGCTCAGGTGGATGATTTTGGTGGAGTTTTGTTCTCTGAGCTGGATGGTTTGGTCGTGACTCAACTATTAAAAATAGATTTAACTTGTAATAATTCTAATTTATGGAATATACAGAATATAAATAACTTCAAATTGATCATTGAAGTTAAAATCATAAAAGTAATTATTCAATAAGAAATTAATAATTAAACTACCAACTAAATGTTTAATTTTCATTAAGAATAAGAACTCTGATATCTTTACAGTTGATTGAAAATTACGAAATGTCAGTAGTTATATAACAGTGTACCCATTTTTATCACAACAGACTTTATTATAAAGATGGTATTGAATGGTTTATTAATGGTGGAATATACTTAAATAGGTAACTTTATAAATATATCAAGGTGTACTCATTGAGATATAATGAAAATATATTTGTTACTAACTTTCTACCCAATATTCAGTTACTTTGAAACTATCAAGTCTAACCTTGGCATTGATACATTTAAATAAGGAAAGTGTAGAATGTAGTAGTATAAATATAATTAGTTTTATCAGAAGGGATTTTGTGGAGATTTCAGTGAGTTCACTAGTTGAAATCATGAGTCAATTGGAGCTAGACCACCATGGAAAACCTGGGAGCACTGGATGGCCGTTCCATCCTAGTATGGGACTCCTCAGCTGTGAGTATTCACGACCCCGCCCTCCAAGAGACTCGAACCCAGGACCTATCAGTCTCACGTGCAAACGCTTAACCATTAGACCACTAAGCCGGTATTCAATAGTGTTAATGTCCAATTTCAACCAATCCACGATATTGCACCACCGTCCATTATTGTTTTCAGTGAGTTACTGCCTCACAACAGACCCCGTTGAACTCCACTGGTCACACAGAATCGTGGATGCACGCTGCTGAGGAGTCCCATACTAGGAAGAAACGGTCATCCAGTGCTTCCAGATTTTCTATGGTGGTCTAGCTTCAATTGACTCATGATCTTAACCATTGAAAATATAAATCAGTCAAATAATAGATGATTAAATCAAATATTAGATGACTTGAAAGTTTTAACAGAAGATTTCTTTCTACTTTTATGTTAATAGCACGTTTCACCACTTCTCAAATTATTATATTAATCAATGTAATATATATTCGTTTTACAGCATTATATTTTGAATCGTGATCTTTAATAAGTCATCTATTATCTTCATTCAAACATAATTATTTATTAGATAAATATTATATATTGAAACGAATGTCTACAGATACATGGATATCTTCACATTGTGAACTTAATCATCTTACTGATATGGCACCATCATCATCGTCATCATCAACTATCTCATCATCATCATCATCATCATCATCATTATTCAATATAAATGTTATGCAAGAATTTTCAAATGTATTTAATAAATTTTATTCATCTGAAATAAATTCATTCATTTCTACAAAATCTAATGATTCATATTTATATACTACTAATTATTTAAACCAAACAGTAATGAATAATAATATAACTAAAGAACAAACATTACAAGAGAATCATTTACAAAATGTTCAAGAAATATTTTATAAATTTTTAAAAATATTTCCACAATTTGATTTATTACAAAAATCAATAAACAATTATGAAACATCTTCAGAAAGATCTATACAAGATTTAACAATGAATCGTAATGGACAATATGATTTAAATATATCTGATTTTAATTGTAGTAATACAACATTAGGTACATTACCAAGTCCATCAGAAAAATCTAGTCCATATGATTCTAGTTTATGTTATCAACAAATGAATCATCAAATGAATGATAATGAAATTGAAGATTCTAATGATTATCATAATAAATTGGATAAAGAAGAAAAACTTCAGAATAGTAATGAAATCAATGAATTCAATTGTACATTAGATCATATTAAAATGAATAAAATAAATAGTTTATATACTACTGTACCATATGATACAGGATTAAATAATATATTTAATATAAATAGTAATATAAGACATGATTATAGATCCCCTACTGAAAACCTAACAAATCATTTGCCCTATCAATATGAAATTCTTTGAAATATGATCATGAACAGTCAAATAATGAACAATATGCTATTAATTTATCTATGAAAAAGGCTAATCTAAATCAAACACTACCTATTTCACAATCTGAAATGATTCATCATAATACAGAAACAAATGATCATTCATTGTCAAATCCAGCAGTTTATGAATATTATACTAGATTAATGCAACTTAGTTATATTGAATGGTTTAGATATCTCGTTTGTCAATCACCACAAATAACAGGAAATTCTTCTACATCAAGTCCTATTCCCCATTTAATTCAAAATAACAATATTTATTATCCAAACAATGATAAATCCTGTGATTTTAATAGTTTAAATAATGTTAACAATACTTTTCGAAGTAACCACTCTGTAAAAGATGTTCAAAATATAGATAGATTAGCATTTCATCATTCTAACGAATCTCTTTCAATTAATTCAGATATTTTAGGATCAACTTATTCATCATATGATTTATCTAATTTTCCTTGTAACTTACAGTCTAATTTCTCATTGAATAATCATCAAAATGCTTTGTTAAATCGTCTTTCAACGATTACATCAACAACACATTCATTACCATCTTATTCACCAATACGAATTACCAAGTCTGGCCTTCAATCAATGACAAAAGATGTTTCAAAGTTAACAAATATTTGTAATATGAAATCAAAGAGCTATTCTGGAAATCCAATAATTTCAAAATATTCTAACACAAAAAGTACTGATCGTACATTAATTATCAATGGACCTAATAGTTATGCTTGTAAACTTTGTTCGAAAGTTTATTCACAAGCATCCGCATTAAAAATGCATGTACGTACACACACATTACCATGTCGATGTACACATTGTGGTAAATCATTTTCACGTAAATGGCTCCTTAAAGGACATGAACGTACACATACTGGTGAAAGACCATATTCATGTAGTGTTTGTAGTCGATCATTTGCAGATCGATCAAATCTAAGAGCGCATATGCAAACACATCAACGTGAAAAACGTTATTCATGTCCACATTGTCCACGTTCATTTTCACGAATGGGTCTATTAAATAAACATATGATACAATGTACTCAAAATATCGAATCAAACAATAGTATTAACAATCGAAAAAATAACAACACAATGAAACTATCAAATTGTTATCTTCCCATCAAATTTTCCTGATCCAAATATCTAATTTAATTATCAATATTTTATTTATACAATGAACAATTTACAATTAGATAAAATACTTTACTAAACACTTAGATGAATACCTCTATTCACTGTTAAACACATAAACTTAGATAAGCTTATCATAAGATAAAATGTATAAAGTAGATTTGTAGATATATTTTCAATTAGTCTATAAGTAATATGTGTACACATGTATATCTGATGATTACTCCTCCTCCTCCTCCTCCTCCTCCTCCTCCTCCTCCTCCTCCTCCTTTGTTTCCCATTTTAACCTCATTACAAGAAATTGTAGACCTTTTTTTTCTTAGAGAGCTAATTGTGCTTGAGTCGTTTCATTGTATTACATATGAAGAGAAAAAATTCTGCTTCGTTTACTTTATATCAATGTACAGATACAAAAAAAACCCCGCCATGATTATTATCTACTTATGTGAAATATAAAATTAATTTTTAAAGACTTTCGGTTGTTGTTTTTGTTGCTATTATCAGTAATAGTAGGATTGTAATTATCATATAAAGGGGGAAATGATAAATAAGCACCTTTTTCAAGTAACAGTGACAATAAAGATTTTCAGGGTTTTCAAATACTCAGGTTATTCATAACACTTTGTTTTATAAAGAGTGAATGTATTAATGAAATTAGAGCAGAGAGCTTTTGAGTAGTTCTACACAATTATCCACTTCTCATTAGTTTAAGAAGAAATTGACTTCAGATTTAAATTGACATGAATTATTAATGTTAGATATACAATCTACAAGTTTCAGGCGTAATCAAGTATAGTCTTCATGTCAATGGATTTCACCGTCATCAATTATTTTAATTGTTCAAAAGAAGTTTACACTCATATGTTACACTGAAAAATGCATTACAATGCAATTTTATAAACAACATTATCTAGTTGGTTTGAAGTGAATGTAAGTCCTAAACAAGAATGAATTAGTCGTCAAGTGTTACTTGGTTTACAAAGGCACCCCCGAATGATATCAATCTATGGTGAATACAACTTATAAAGGTAATGTCCATATGACTCTGTCATCAAATTCCTGTAGCATCTAAGTATCAGAAATAGTAATTCGTAAATTAGAATATCATACTAATAATGGCTAAATAGAATCGACGTTCCAAAAGAAATTTTAACTAGGCTGTTCCGAAATCATATCATAGAAGTCTCCTATTTTGTTGAAAAAGATATGATCTATAAGAACAGTTAACAAACTAACAATATTAGGACTAAAGTTAACGAAAAATTCCACCTTTCATTTGTAATAAGACTAGATTAATGAATTATCACCTCTTCGAATTCCATTATTAACTTGTCTTACTACATAGAAATCAAATTCAAACTTAATTACAGGCCTTAAAATGCCCTGGTATGGCCGAGAGTGGGAAGAGTCAACTCTCTCTCTCTCTCTTCAAATGCTCTGACATGGTCACGTGTATATCGTCATTGTCAGAGACATCCTACTCAATCCATTCTCGCTGTCGGAGTGCTGTTTACAAAATTAAGAGGACGAAAAGGGAATGTCCGGAGCTTTAACCGGGTTGGTTGATGGATATGGAGGATCCACCTAGGGGAGTTGTAAAACGAATGGTGCACATAGTCTCCAGGGTCCTGAGGAAGCAAATGGCATATGAACCAGTTACTGGTCACCGACTACCATGGGACTGCATCTCCCAAGGTTACTCCACTGCTTTGTGGATCAGACCTTTAGGTCGAAGGGTCCAGGTGTTGGCCCCTTATGAAAACCACCTGCTTCATTTTGGGCGTCCAACCCTCAAAAATCGAATGATTTTACGTAACGCACATGTATTTGGTGCCTCCTTGTATCAATGGTTATGTGTTTAAATAACTAAATAAACTTGCTCAAATGGAACTTCTTTTCTCTCCACATTATCGCTTTTGTTTTCTGTATAATATTTGACAATCTACATATAATTAATCTGTGCATATTAACACAAATTTAGTATTTGTCTATCATAATGAATCAGGTAAATTATCCTACTAACACCTGTAGAAAGTTAATTTTCGATTCTTCTTCTTCTCATAAATAATTAAAAGTATTTTAGGACAAGAGAACTTCTTATAGAAAACAAAGGGATTGCGTGTATAACAATATAAGATTATTATTATTATTATCATTAATAATCTCTTTAATAGATATTTCATCAATAACATCTCTGTATTTTCATCCATAATTAGTTATGTGCTCACAGATAGACATTGTCCCTTATTGAACAAACAAGCAAATGAATACACTACCAGAATCCCATCCGATAAAATATGAGTGTTTGTGTAAATGTAGGTATATATATTAAATAATATATATATAAATATATATTATATATATATATATATATATATGAGTGATTGACTGTAACCACAAAAGAAGGTGTATATATTTCTTTCTTCAAACTATTAGAAACTATTTTTCGATTATATGCTTATTATTATTTTCCATTATAGAAGTATGAGTTATTACTTGGAAGAACATACTTATATACATACCTACCTACCTACATACATACATAGATACAACTGATATTAATTCATATAAGTTAGTTTAGAACAACACAAGTAAATAGATTGACGGTAAACTAACATAAATATATATAACAATCAACTTTATTTACTGTATAACGCAGGTGTAGTAACTTGTATTAAACAAGTGAATAAATAAAACTTTTTATATACATTTATATAATATAGAAATTAAATATTCGCCAAATCATTCAATTATGAATTGTGCAAAGAATTTTGTATCTGTCCAGGTGGTTTAGTTATTGAGAGAAAGTGAAATTACAATAGTGATTTAGAAATCTAGTTAATTAATTTATATAGATAGTTAGATAGATAGGTATTAGTAAGTAGCAAGATAAACTAAATGAAATCTATCTATTTATGATTTTATATAGGACTTTATAAGATCTAAGAAATAATAGAAATGATTCTATACAAATACGAATTATCACTTATTGATCATAAACTATTGTTGTTATTAAGCAAAGATGGATAGCGACTAGTCATGGAATCCAGGAAGCGCATTTCGTTCTATTTGGGACTCATCAGCTGGATGTACTTGTATCGCAGAGTTGATATTCACTCCGGGACTCGAACCCAGTACCGTTCGCTTCAAACTTAAGTCTATATCGAGGCAATCCATACAGGATGCATATATGCCAGCATGAGACTGATCAATTGCAGTCCCAAATAACAATCAGAAGATACAAGTAAAACAACACCAAGTGAATTTTTTACTGTTGCTGTTTTTTTCCATACACATAATTCCCTTTATTATCTTCAAAGAGAGCAAGAATGAAGATTGATACAGAATAATATGAAGTCATTTTATTTAATTGGTTTCACATCAGCTGTTTATAGCCTAAACTATTTGAAAATCAACGTTATTACACATAATGACATACTTATATATATACGAGGGTGATTAAAGATGAATATAAATGTGTATCATGATTTACCAAAGATTTAAATAGAGTTCAATAAGTTCATTAAAAATTGTTTGTTTTGGATAAATAAAGTTTGGGAGGGAAAGTTCTAGAACACTGAATTAATGATTAGAACATAAAAATGAAATGATTTCATTAACCCATTCAATATACATAGATTTCTGTTTGATTAACTTTGTACAAACAGTTTATATAGATGAAAAAAGATATTGATTTATTTCATGAGAGGTTCAGTATTATAATGTTTGTGTCCTATTGTTATGATTTGTTGAGTTTTGTCAAAGCTATTGGACAAGTTTGTCACATTGTGATCCCAGATCTTATTCACTTAATACACTCTTCATTATGAAATTGTTATTCGGTGATATTTTCTTAATTTTTCATCAAAAAACAAAGTTAGTCTGTTTTGGATCCTTTCAAAAACTCACTTTTTAGAAGAATCCCGTTTCCATCACTGACAGATATTTATATTAGATTCTAAAATTATTCAGAGATGTCCTATCAAGATTTAATCTAATTAACAGTAGTATGTTATTTTCTATCAGAACTGGTCTACCAGAAAGACACTTAAAAATTAAAAACAAGAAATTGATAGCAACGACTTTTAGTATTCTTTTTTTACCTAACAATCTAATTCAAAAGTTCATTATGGAAATCCAGTAGAGTCGGTTAGTGGCTATAAATGGAATTCAGAACGCGCGTTTCGTCTTAAATGGGATCCATCAGTTGGATGCATCTACATAATGTTTTATAGGATTTAAGTTTGTAATAATACAATTCCGGACACAACCAAGTACAGAGAAACAAAGCTTTAGAAAAGTTTTAAAGACAGTGGTAACTAAATACATCTTTGTATCTTCTAACCTTAATAATTACTTAGAATTGTTCATTACAAATAGATCACTGATTGCTTTTGATACACCATTTTCAGTATATGGCTTGCTCATAAACGTTGTACGATGATAATTTCTAAACTCATATGTTCTATATAAAAAGATATTTTGTCAAAGTAACATATATTTAGTGAGCCCCGGTGTGTTTGCTATTTGATCATTAAACTGTAAACACTGAATTACAATATTCGGAATCATGTTCATCGCTTACCAATCTGTTGTTTACAAATTCTTTCAACTAGTCATTCAGAGGATTGTTATTCGTAACCAATAATCCACCAAGCAGTTTAGAATAGATAAAGAAGTAAAATAAGGAAAAACTAGTAACTATGTGTTTCAGTCACATTATACCTTTGAGATTGATTACACTACCATATGAGAACTCATGCACTTTAATACGGAATTCCCTATGAATGGGTATATTTGACTGTGTAGCTCTTCTCTATTGGATACCCATCGTAAATGTATTACCATTACTTTCTAATTTGAGTCCTAATCAGTTCTATTCTTATACTGAAGCGTCTAAAAGTTAAAGTTTGAAAATTATAGCGGTTTATTTAATTCTAGTAACCTTATAACCAGAGAGTTTGATGTAAACTGTTGGTTATAAAAATGACCATTCAATAAAA